GCAAAAAAATTATATAAACTATGACTAAAATAGGAATTAAACTGAAAAAAAATAAAATTAAGATTGCCTTCTTATCATATAATAATGGGGTAAAGTGAGAAATAATCAAGTTTTTTATTATTTGTATAAAACGATCTGTCAAATCGTCAATTGAATTCGTTATTAACGAAATGATATGTGTTACACCGTCATTGGCTGCTGATTTCAGAAAATCGTCAATAACCTCACAATTTTCGGATTATGGTGAATTTAAGCATTCAAAGGGGTCCTTCTTTGGTAGGCCGCCAACCACTTGATCGGAAGCACTATCTCGTTGCCACCTCATCTTCAATCTCCAGCTTTTTATATTTTACAATAAGTATAAATTTATAACGAAATAATATTTTATTTTAATATAATATGTTGATAATATATGAATTTATGAAAAGGTAGATCAAGTGAAATCTAACCAACTCATGTGATTCATGATTTGTTTCAAATAACTAATTTGTTATCTATTTTTTATATATTATTTTTATTTTTAATATTTATTTCTTTTTTAAATATTTATGTTGTTAAAAAACGTTATTTATATTTGATTTTAAAAACCTAATATAAATACATTATTGATTTGATACATAATATAATAATTTTGATTTTTTGATAAATAATCAAATATTAGTTAATAAAACTTAACTCATATGGAAAAAAATATTTGTCTTATCTATACTATATTATAAAACATTTGACAAAAACTCTTAAAAATCATTTTTTATGCGTAAAGTACTGTTTATTAATTGCATATTACTTAAAACTCAAGATTACAAGTAGATTGTGCTTAAGTACAACTTATTAAAGCTCCATATCTGAATTCGTGTAAGCAACTGCAGATAAACATAATCAAATATAGGATAAACATCTCATTTTAAATATAAAAAATCTAAAATGTAATTAGAATAATTATTGAGTTCTAACAGAATACTTAATTATTATCTTTATAAAATGTTATATTATTAAACCAAAAATAAGTTATTTCATTATTAAATTTAAATTAAATTATAATAAAAAAATAAATTAAAAAAATTACATAAAAAATGATAACTTTTAAATAGTTGATTTGACATCAACATTAATATATTTTTCTTCAAATTTTTATTTTATTAAAAAATAAAATTATTAATGTTTTCTTAAAAACACATAAAATCGTATTATAATATCGACAGAGACAAATAATAAAATACAACATTAAAATCGAGATGTGTAACTATATTGGACGAGTAATCTTCTAATAATAAAAAATGTTTTCACTTAAATGGAAAATAAATAACTTAAAATCGTTGGACACGTGTCCAAAAGCTGACGTACCTTTCTACCGATAAACAACTAAACAAGTGGGCAACTACCGTTATTGCTTTTTTAACTTTTTCATAACTATTATATCTGATTTTTAATTAAATTAAGAGTAAATTATACTTTTGGTCCTGAGATTATCATTCAATATCAAATTTGGCCCCAATCTTAAATTAATCACAGTTTTAGTTATTGTAGTTGTCATTTTATTTCATTTTTGGTCCCTTGAATGTAATAAATGTATACTATTGAAATATGGGTTTCTAATTACCCTCAGATCAATTTTGTTCTCTTCTTCTGAGTTTCTTTTCTCCAAATCATTCTTTTATGGAACCCTAATCACGATTTCAATTGTCATCCACCTCTTTCTCTTCTGTTACACACCCCATTAAACAATGGGGAACAACTTTCATGGCTTGCTTGCTCACAAAAGATTCAGGCTGATGCACCAAGAAAAACTTGCCATTGATCGCCTTGATTTCGATTTTTGTTTCCTTGATCATGCCAACCGACCCAAAAGAGAATAAAAATCCTTATGCACGTCGCCATTTCCTACCAATCTTGATGTCATCGTTGCCACCACCTACTTCTTACCCACCAAGAAAAGAATAATTGTCCTTCACCAAATTTTTATTGCCATGAAACCCCTTACTTCATTTATCCTCGATATGGAGTACGACCCAAAATTTGACAAAGAGAATACTTATGTCTTACAAGTTGTTTCCCAAAAAGGAGCAAAAATCGATGAGATAGAAGAGGAACGAGAGGATGGGATTATGTGTGCTTTATGTTAAAGCAAATATGGTGATTTCATTATTCTATGATAATTCATTTGATCTAATGTTTTACACTGCTTGCTATGTTGATTTCCCTCATAAAATGTGTTCCTAAAGGCCAAATTATTAATAAAATCAAAGGTTTATCTTGTGGTGTTTTAAATCCCACAAACAATGGTTGATTGGCACAGAGTGTGTACGTTGTCTATTCCCGAGGTCTTTTCAATATATAGAGTTATTATATGATTAATAGAATAAAAAGAAGAGTAAAAGAACTAAAATGCCATTAGGTTAACTAATTTTTTTAGTTAGAATTAATTAGAAGAACAAAAAGTGAAGCAAAATAACAACCACAGTGACCAAAAGTGAAGTAAAATGACAACCACAATAAGCAAAACTGTAATTAGTTTAAAATATAGACCAGACTTCATATTGAGTAACAACCATAAGGGGGCGTTTGGTTCGTAGGTTATGGAAAAATATGATGGAATTTGAATGTTGAATTCCGTTGACTAAATCACATTCTTTCATTTGGTTCATTTTTTCATGAAATGAATTTTCAAATTTCTACAAATTCCACGAATAAAGAAATTTAACATTTATTAGCAACTAAATGGTATTTTGATGGAATGAAATTCTCTATTTTCATAATACTAAATATGCCGTTAAACCAATATACAATAATCTCATAAAACCAAATATGACCATCGTAGACCACCTTCGACCACCATCGATCTGAATCACCGCCGACCATCGCCATTTGAACAACCCCCGACCACCACCACCAACTACCACCGATCTGAACCACCCCCGACCACTACCGATTTGAACTACCATCGACTACCGTCAGTCTGAACCACCCTCGATTACCGCCATCTAAACCACCATAGACCACCAATGATCTGAACGATTGTCGACCACCGCCATCTAAACCACCACGGACCACCATCGATTTGAACCATCGCCAACTACTACCGATTTGAACCATCGCCAACTACTACTGATCTGAATCACTGTCGAACACCGTCAATTTGATCCACCGCCAACCATCACCGATCTGGACAACCACCTATCTGATCCATCGCCGATATGAACCATATTCGACCACTGCCACCTGAAGCACCATAGACCACTACCAATCTGAACCATTGCCAACCATCGACGACTATCACTGATCTGAATCACCGCCAGACACTGCCGACCACCAATGATTTGAACAACCATTGATCTGAACCACTGTCCATCTGATCCACCGTGGACCACCATCGATCTAAACCACCGCAAACCACCATCGATTTGAATCACTGCCATCTGAACCATTGCGGACCACTAGTGATCTAAACCACCGTAGACCACCGCCGACCACCGTTGATTTAGTACGTCTTTTGGCTTATGGTTCTATTTGATTTGTGTATTTTATATTGTTTTACATATTAAATAATTATTTTATTAAAGTATTTTTAGTTATAAAAAAATTATAATTTTCAAAAAAGGGCATTTTTGTCATTTATCAATATTTCATTTCAATTCCAAAGCTACGTTCTGTGAACCAAACAGACAGATTCTAATTTCTTAATAGATTCATTCAAATGTATGTCAACCAAACATGTGGTCAAAGCTGACAACATTTCATTTTAATTTCTTTCAAAATCAAATTCGTTTAACAGATTTTATTTCATTCAAAATCATTTTACAAACCAAACGCTAGATAAAGAATAAAAATGTAATTTACTTTAAAATAATGTAAAAGTTTATAATTATTCTGAAATAAAATATTAAAAAACATTTATCATAACGTAATCGGGATCTTGTCCCATGAAGCACCGTCCTCTTGCGCTTTTCCGGAACATACTTTGACCTAATTCTTCAGGTGGGTCCACTTTCTTTTAGACTAGCCATTTGTAAACCGCCACGTGTCATTTTACCACCTTCAGCATTATTTGGGACACTTTGATAAGGTTATCTTCCTCTCATTGGTAAACCCATCCACGTGTACATATCCACCCAGATTCTCTTTTATATTATCAAAATAGATTAACATTTGTTTATATCTAATTAATTTATAGATTTGGAATAAATTTTTTAATTATTGATATTAGTAATATATTTATTGTAATCTTTTAAGCTTTTCTTCATTGTTATCAATTTAAAGGCATTTTAATTAAAGTCTTGCTTTTATTAATCCATCTGTATTTTATTTATAAAATAGAAAAAAAAAACATAAAATTCATTTATTACATCAATTACAAGATGATAGATAATATACAGTGTATGTGTTTCTGTAAGCAAGGCTTTGATAAAAGAAGGCAAAACAAAATCAGTCACCGAAACCAAAAGCCGACAAACCTCATATCATCGAAATCTTGAGAAAGTAACGAACAAAGAAGCCATTTTCATAAAAAGGAAAACCCTAATAAACAGAAGCGTGAAAAGAGTGTGCCAATTTTGTGGTGGGTCAGTCTGGTTTTGACAGCCATTGTTGGTTTCCTGTGGTGATGCTCATGAATGGGTGATACCCATTTAAACAGGTTGGCAGCCTCCTCTTCCTATTTCTTGTTTTTATAAAAATTTCGGAGCTTTTATCTCTTTCTATGCTTCATCTCCCCTCAAATTTCAGCTAATTTTCTTTAAATGGAATATACTGAAGGGATTTTAATATTTCTTTTCGGGTTTTCTGAAGGAAAGACCATAGAAACCTAACATGTGGTGAACTGTCCAAAATGAGTTTTTGTATTTTAAATTTTATGTGTGGACTAAAAATAGGCAGCACCCGTTTTCCCAAGTAGAATGAGTTTTTGGTTTTTTGCCTCCTTATTTTAATTCCTGTCATTGTTCATATATAAATATATACATCTATTCTCCCTTGAGATCCATACTTTTCTTTGAGTTTGTTCTCTACCGTTTGCTATTTGGTGTCAACCAATTGATATTCAACAGGAACCCTTCATTTTTCAATCATAAAGAGCTTCAAAATTGGTACATATTTGAAAGCTTTGTGGGGAATTCATCATCTTTCCACTGAATGTGAAGTGGGTTTTTGTTTAAAAAAGGAGGCAGGATTTCTAGTGGGTGGTGTGTGGTGTATGTGTTTTCAACACAAAGGAAAGAACTAGGAGACAAGCTAGCTTTATTGATAACACCAAGCTTTTATCTTTTACCTGTTCAAGTACACACCATGTCTGTTGCTCTCATATGGGTAGTTTCCCCTAATTCTGAGCTCTCTAAAGGATTGGGTTTCTTGGAGACAACCAAGGTGTTAGATTCTTCAAGATTCATAGCCCGGGGGAGAAGCTTTTTGCGGACTAGCAAGTTCAAGAATATTGGTAAGAAGTACAAGTGCAGTTCCTGCTATCTGAATGCAAATTTGAGACATTCTTGCTTCGGTGAATCGGGTTTTCCTGGTTCAAACAATGGAAGAAAATCCGATGTGGCTTCGAGGGTGGTGGCCAACCCAGCTGGGGAATTGACTGTTTCATCAGAGCAGTTGGTTTATGATGTGGTCTTAAAGCAAGCAGCTTTGGTTAAGGAGCAGATGAGAGCTAGAGAAGATGTGGAGGTGAAACCAGATATTGTGCTTCCTGGAACACTTGGTGTATTGAATGAAGCTTATGATAGGTGTGGTGAAGTTTGTGCAGAGTATGCCAAAACCTTTTATTTAGGTTCGTTAGCCTTCTTTTTATTAAATCACTTGCAACAGTTATGACCTTTTTTACTTTAAAAGACACAACTTGCATTTAGATATTCATCTTAATTGAGTTATTTAATTGTAATCTTTTTTATATAATGTTTACAGGAACCCTGCTAATGACTCCCGAGAGGCGGAAAGCTATCTGGGCGATTTACGGTGAGGATCTACATCCATTATATTCATAAAATCATGATAAACGTTTTGTTTGATTTCTGGGATTTCTACTTAACATTTTGAGTTTTGCAGTCTTAAGAAATAAGAACACAAAGGGTCCGAATCTCTTTTCCAATTTCTGATTCTGTAGTAAAAACCTTTTTCTGTTTATTCTTGAATGTTGATGCTTGGTAGGTACATGTGAACATCTGTTTTAGAATTATTTTTATGTTTATTTTTAAGAAAATTATAAGGGTGGTGCCTGATTGGTTTGAGCTGGGCTCCAAAGGTCAAACGTGCCAGGAGGTCCCAGGTTCAAATCCAAGGAGGAATAAAAATCCCCTTGTGGCCACGGAGGGTCAAATGCGGTGACTCCGGACTATCTGCAAAACAAGTGATCACCCTGAGATTAGTCAACTTGCATAGCGGGTTGGATATCCAAGTTAATAAAAATAAATAAAAAATTGCTACTTTCTTGGTCAACTTAAAGTATATTTGTGCTATCATACCAATTCCACTAATTGGTAGTTAGAAAACTTTGATTTCTATTTTGACTACCTGATAGAAAGTGGAGACCTGGCCTGACTAATTCTTTAGAATCTTTAATTTTTGAGTTTATGTCTGTTACCTTTCTATATATAAAACTGATATGGATGCTTCATGTTTAGACATCGATTTCGATTTTTTTTTCTAATGTGTGTCTTAGGGGCCGTTTCGGGCAATTTTTCTTACCGTATGAACATGACAAGGGTAAAAAATCTTACCCGGTAAGAGCAATGATAAAGATGAAAGAGTCTTACTTGGTAAGCGAGGGTGAGGACTCTTGCCCAGGTAGGCGCTTACCGGGTAAATTGTTGAATACGATACCATTTTGATATACTACAATTTTATCCGGTAAAATAAATTACAGTGTTGACTCCTAATGACAAACACTTACCGGGTAAGCATTTAGGTAAACAGCCCCTTAGTGTCACTAGTTTTCAAATTATACTAGATTTTTTTTTTTCTTCAAATGAAACAATTTTGAAGCTGGAAATAAATTGATTGACCCGAGAACTCAAAGTATATCTTTCTTAGAGCAAAAAAAGAGATGCTCTGCAGAAACATAGGCTGTTGGATTCTTGATGATCTCAGTTCTTAGATACCCACCCTTCAACTTATATGACTTTTGATGAAGAAATGAGAAAGGTGGGAAATGATCAAAAGTTTGACTTTTTTGTGTTTCGTTGTTCGGAACAGTGTGGTGTAGGAGAACCGATGAACTTGTTGATGGCCCTAACGCATCGCATATAACTCCCAAAGCTCTGGATAGATGGGAATCAAGGCTCGAAGATCTTTTCAATGGTCGGCCTTTTGACATGCTTGATGCTGCTTTATCGGACACAGTCTCCAAATTCCCAGTTGACATTCAGGTCAAAAATCAAGCATGAGTAAATCATTTAGACAAGATGGGTTGTTTATTGCATCAAGTTCTTAAGGTTTCCTATCGTTTTTGGTGTTTGCAGCCTTTTAAGGATATGATTGAAGGAATGAGGATGGATCTTAGAAAGTCTAGATACAAGACTTTTGATGAGCTTTATCTGTATTGTTATTATGTGGCTGGTACAGTTGGATTGATGAGTGTTCCTATAATGGGAATTGCCTCTGAATCTCAAGCAACAACCGAAAGTGTATACAATGCCGCTTTGGCGTTGGGCATCGCTAATCAACTCACGAATATCCTCCGAGATGTGGGAGAAGAGTAAGTGCTCGTACTAATCGTAATTCAAGTATTCGTCTTACTAATAATCTTTTGAGGTTAGAAAATGGTGATCAGGTTAACAAATAAACTAGTTTCTGTATGGTTTTCAAACATTTTTGAGTCTTGATTACCATACTGTCTAGCATGTACCATAAATAGTAAATGTTTGTATGACAGCAGTTTGACTTTGAGGTCTAACAGACTAATTTCAAAACCAATTTTGAGCATTTTCAAGAAAATCTTGATGAGCATAGTGAAATCTGTAGCAGATACCAAAAATAGCAATGTTTGCATCCCAATAGTTTGACTTTTGAGGTCAAATGAACTAGCTTCTAACAAATTTGCATATCAAAAGTTTGACTTTTGAGGTGAAACAAACTAATTTCAATACAAATTTAAAAAAAAAATGTGATTGTGATTGTGACTCCCATGTTGAAATTGATATTAAATACCATAAATAGCAAACATTTTGCATGCCAAGAGTACTAGATTAACCTCAAAAGTATACATAGTTCTTATGATGTGCTTGCTTTTGTTATAGTGCAAGAAGAGGAAGAGTTTATCTACCACAAGATGAATTAGCACAAGCCGGACTATCCGATGAGGATATATTTGCGGGAAAAGTAACTGATAAATGGAGGAGCTTCATGAAAAAGCAAATCAAACGAGCACGATCGTTCTTTGATGAAGCAGAAGAAGGTGTCACACAACTAAGCTCAGCTAGTAGATGGCCGGTAAGTGTCCTACAACGTCCAAATGATACGTAAAAATAAACATTCATTTATTAAATACAAAAGTTCGAAGAACTTTAAGTTGACTATGCATCGTTGTTGATTATCAGGTGTGGGCGTCCCTGTTACTATATCGTCAAATCTTGGATGAGATCGAAGCAAATGACTATAATAACTTCACCAGGAGAGCTTATGTAAGTAAACCAAAGAAGCTAGTTTCTCTGCCCCTTGCTTATGCCAAGTCTCTTGCTCCTCCATCATCGAGAAACGGAACTCTTTCAAAGATCTTCGACGCGTAGATTATAATATATATACTCTCACTATATATATAGTTGTAGGAAGTCGAAACGGTGAATATTTGTAAATTTTATGTTGGTTGATTGTTGTAATACGAATAACGATGATTATATAAGATATAAAATAGTCGACTTTGCTCTTACTAGTTGGTTGGCTTATTCTTTTGACGTAATGAAAACCGTCTCCAGATTTTACGCTTTTATTATCGTGTTCCTCTTTCTTTCTTGGACACACGGGAAGAACATACAAACACAAGAATCACTATGAATGTGGATAGCGGAGAGTTCCTGTATATATATTATATGTTCGTAGCTTTTTCCGTCATGTTGTGATACACCGTTTACGGAAAGATTATCGTAAATTATAAATAGATTTATTAATATTTAAAGCAAATACCTAAATTTGTGAATCGATAAATACAATAAAAAGTGATTGTTGAAAAGAATTAATAAATAATTTAATTAATGATTAAATATCTGAAAAAAAGTCGGCCATCTGAAGAGATGTGTGAACTTTGTTATTGGAGTTTTCTTGTTTTTGCGCCACATTTTTTTATAATTTAATATCGATATCGACCGTCAATCTGTCTCCAAACCGTGTTTCAGAATCAGAACACGTCTCTCGGCTTGGCAGCAAAACAAAAACCTCTATTTGCGGAGACACCACCTTCGATCGTATCAATATGGCGACGATCGGACACAATAATCTCAATGCAAAATTGGTAACTCAACTCCTTCATCATCACTTTCCTAATTTCTTCATTTCGTTTGCTTCTGTTTCAAGCTTCAAGCCCCGATGATTGTTAGGTTTTGCTTGGAGACATGGGAGCTGGCAAATCAAGTCTCGTGTTGCGATTCGTCAAAGGCCAATTTCTAGAATTCCAGGTTCAGTTTTTGGTTATATGACTTCTCCATTTGACGTTGACTTTCTAGGGTTTGAATTTCGTTATGGTTTTATGAGTTTGGTTATTGATTTCATGGGTATGGTTGTTGTGGACAAAGGAATCGACGATCGGAGCGGCGTTTTTTTCTCAAACCCTAGCAGTGAATGATGCGACGGTGAAATTCGAGATCTGGGATACGGCAGGTCAAGAAAGGTATCATAGTTTGGCTCCTATGTACTACAGGGGCGCTGCAGCAGCAATTATTGTCTACGACATCACCAGCGCGGTACTATTTTTATGTGCTTGCGTGCTAGAATGTTGTTTATATCTGGTTTTGGAGTTATGGGATTTGACTGGAAATACTATTGTGGAATTTTGGCAGCTTATTAGTGTATTGTGTCATATGGCTTCTTGAACTTGGAACCACCACAGTTTGTATCAGTTAAGAGATTGAGGTTAATGGATGGGAGTGAGTGTAGTTTTTTTTATTTCTTTTAGTTTTTAAATTTTAATTGCAACATAAGTACTTAATATGGGATTATGTCCGAGTTTGTAACGAATTATGGGTAAATGGGATGTAGTTATTAGTAATTTGACATATTGGGCTTGTCAACCTGCAATCATCTCAATTTTGTTTCAACTTTCACTTGTCTCAAACCATTGTAGTTATTTTTGGATTTCTACTTTCTAATTGGATTTGGAATTGTATTGCCCCTTATCAATGCATTTGAGTTTTGCTCAAGTATTGTATGCTATCTGTAGAATGCTCAGCCATGTGGATCACTTGTCACAAGTAAATAAAATTCAAAAAATTTAATGCAAAACCTACCTGGTTTGGATGTTTTATAATGCATTGTAGTTTTTCTTTCTTACTGATGTGCTTGAAAATTGAATTCACTAGCTGTTTTATTTGATTACTTTTAGGATTCTTTTACACGGGCTAAAAAGTGGGTGCAAGAACTACAAAAACAAGGTGAGCTGATATCATCAATTTTTTTTGTTTCATTACTAAAATACTAAATACTAGTAGAAGAAAGGTCTAGATCATCCAAAAAATCTTGCAAGTGTAATTGCAGGGAACCCCTTGCTTGGTTTTCTGCTAATTGATTGCTATCAATCATATAATTCTTAGCTTTTTTTCACTCTGCCAATTCTTGAACCAAGTTATATTTTAATGTGTGGCTGGTACAGGTAATCCTAATATGGTTATGGCACTTGCTGGCAACAAAGCTGATCTGGAAGAGAAGAGGAAAGTGACAGCAGAAGTATGCATCTTTCTCCACATTTTTCCTCTTCTGAAATTGATTCCTAAAATGGTTGTTGCCCCTTTATTTTTTCGTTGTCTATATATCCCAAATCCAAATAGCATGTTGCTCAACCTCTGTTTTTGAGTGGAACATTCTATTTACTCATGTTTAAATGCGTCTTCTTTGCAACCACTTTATGTCTTTCTTTTGTCTGTGGACAATTATGACATGATAAAAGATTATTCTCAAGAGCTTAAACTCAATTGGCTTGTTGCTGGATATGTCATTATTATTTGTATATATTTTGATACATGTAAATATTTCCTTGAGTAGTATTCAAATCAGCATTTCTTTTCTTAGTTTGTGCATTCCACTTTGTTGCCATGTCACTGTATGCTACAGAATAATACATTATCCAAACTACCTGTTCTTAATGATTCTGATGACACCAACCATTTGAAAGTTGATATTACGGATCCAACAAAACAACTAAATGGAGTGGCTAAATTCCACAAGTATCTCTCTCATATGCCTTTGTGCCCTTTCATGTCTTGTATTATTAGTCGGTGTGAAAGACAAACAACTGAAAATAGAATAATTTATAAAGCTGGTTAGGGGTTGAGAAACTCTCATTCTTTATAGTGTTAAATAGCTGATTATCTTTCGAAAAGAAAGGCTCCCATTTAATGCAATCCTTTTAGTTTGCACAATCCATTGGACTTCTAATTGTGGCTAGTTCTGACTCATGCAATACCCTATGCCCACACCATCAGTCCAATAATAATTGCAACATTAGACATTACATGCAAATTATTAGCAAGTAATTTACTGATCACATGCCTAAATACTCTTTTGTTTATTTCCTAAATTTCAATTTAAAGTGCATATTTTATATCAAATCAATTACCACTACTATCATGCTGGTTGCTATCTGGATATATCATAGCTTAGCTTTACAATGTTCCCAAAAAGTGGATGTATTAGCATTCTGTTAGGACATCCCAAAATAGAATGTGTTCTGTAGTGAGTATATAAGTTATTCTGTAGAAGAAAGCTTTGTCTAATTCCTTAACCTCTGGTCACTGTGAATATAAAAGATAAAATTAGGACATGTTTATCGGATTTTAGAATAACATGCTGGCTTGTAACTTTCCTGCTGACAGTTATCTTGCAATAGAAGATTCTAACCTTGCATATTCTCTCGAAATGTTTAAAGAAGCAATCTTCTTTTACTTGCAGTTATAAACATATGGAATCCCTTTTTTTACATACAAGTTGCATGTATTATATGCCATAAAAATGTATCATCCGGGTTGAGTGCAAGTTATTCACCTGCCTATTAACCATGCAGGAGGCACGTGCCTATGCCGAGGAGAATGGTCTTTTCTTCATGGAGACATCCGCTAAAACTGCTGCCAATGTTAATGATGTATTTCATGAAATAGGTATGCCTACATTTCTGTTGAGAAGTTTTGAAATTCAATGGAGCTGGTTACTTGCACCCTTTAAGTTAAATTTCTTAACTTTAGCCCCCCTTTCTACAAATACAATCCTGATTTGAGTTATTGCTATAGTTAAGTTCAATCTGTTTAAACATTGATGATGGGTAACTTTATCATCCTTGTCATCATTTACATATCCTATAATCATTTTAGTGCCGGGTAACTGTTGCACACTAAATGCATAATTTATCTGTATTTGAAAAATACATGGTTAGTGTTATTAACAATATTTTGCCTACATGTTTCATTCATTTTTCTTAATTTTCCATCCTTGGATGACAAATATGGTTTATTAAATCTTATGTTGCTTGCATTGCTGTGTTTGAAACAGCCAAGAGACTGCCTAGAGCTCAGCCAAATCAAAATCCATCGGGGATGGTTCTTGTTGACAGACCTGCAGAAGGAGCTCGTGCTGCATCATGCTGTTCATAAGTAATATCTTAAATTCTTAATTGATATCTTGTGTAGTTGGTTTTTCTTATGCACATTTGCCACTGAAACACTTACTGGAATGGCATATGAAAAATTGATCTCAATAAGGTTAAAGATGCAAGTTGTTCTCTTTGGTTAGATGATATCTGATTTGTTAGCCCGACCCATGAACCTTTCATGATTAATTGAACATAAAACATGCAGTCTGGAAACTGTACCCTGAATCTAAAGAACACATTGGGTCTCTGACACTTGGGATACATCCCTGATGGCAGGTATGTGTTAAGTATAGTAATGATATGTGCGTGGAAGCCGACTACATATTCGTGGAATTTGGGCATGTGTGGTAAAGATTGTAATGGCGTTTGAAACGTGAAAATGATGTGCAAATGACTTGTATATGTATAAAGATGGGATTGTGTTGATGTTTTAGCAGATAGTGATAGTAAGATGCATATGGGATCCATTCTTATCTGTTCTTTATTTTTCACTCTGTTTGTGAAAGGACAGGTTCTGATGGACTTCAATCCAATACAACCAACGGGTAGAGAGTCATTGTCGTATGATTTAAGCAAACCTACCCAAAGTAATCACGAATTCATTTATCCAAAAATAGGGTGCTTCATTAACACACGCCACAAAAAGCATAATAATTCCAAGAAACTATATCCACACCACCTCATGCACGACATTACATTCGTGTTTCTGACGAAAAATAAAGCCACCTAAACATAGTAGGCAAAGAATAACAACATAATTACCCGTAAAGAACAATCCAAGAACTCACCAGCTCATGATGATGTGGTATTGTAGCTGGTAACTCAAGCTCAATGCAGCTAATTGATCAGCTTGGATTGGAGTCCGAGCTCATTGTTGCGGTGTACCATCTGTGGCAGTGTGATCAGTCCACGACACCTTATTTGTGCATTGATGTCATTGGAGAATTTGTTAAGGAGGGCGTATGAGTTGGCCACAACATTTTGCTTGTCTGGTGGATGGTAGCGTATTGATACATTGCAATGTACATGAGTTTGTTGTATTTTGTTTATGCATGTGACCTAATACACAAGTGTACAAGTTTCAAGCTTTCTTCGTCCCATCCTATTTGATTAATTTGATGTCTCTATCTATCTATCTGTCACTAGATATTAATTAATGAAGATTTGAATCATATTGACTAGGTTGGCATTCATGGATTGATCAACTCATGCATTTTTTGTATTTCCCCTTCCACGAGATCTTGAATTGGCATACCTGAGAGATTTTTGTATTACCAAATCCCCTAAACACAACAAGCAAAACTCTACTCAGATATCTACAAGATACAAATCAAAAGGAAGGTCCAGATGATCAAACTCACCAACTTGATGACGATGATGCAGGCTTGTTCAATGCAGCTAATTGCTTTGCCAAGGACCAACTTGGATCCGTCTCTGAGTTTATTAGCTATGTAATCGGAATTGTAAGATCCTGTTCCATATATAATTTCAAACAACAAAAAGTCTGTTTAAAACCGACAGTAACCCATGCATAATCAAACATCAGTTTGCAAAGGTTAATGCAACTCAAATATACCCATTAGCACATTTTTCTTTGCAGCGACACATCATACTCAAAGTCTATCCTTTTCCCAAAATTCACAAACATCATCTGTATCAAAATCAAATGAGATAAAAAAGTCATGCAATCGAGTAGAAAGAACAAAAGAAAACAGAGAAAGAAGAAACAAGACAAACCAGATGAGCTAATATGCATGTTACCTGGCTCCGGTCAGTGCCACATTCGTTCTTTGCAAATTTGAAAGAAAACCAACAGTTCTTTTCCCATTGCATCTCACCGTAGACATAATATTACATCCTCCTCACTCCCTTCAAAGCCATCAACAGATCGGACGATGACAGAGAACAAATCTTCAGAATACTTGTACTTATTGCCAAGTTTTTCCTGTATTGCATTTACCTGAGCCTTGAATGGTGATATGCAACCCACACTCACCCGTTGTTTTCTTGCCACATATTCTATAGGACAACGATAAGAGTTCAATGATCAACAACACACACATACATGTATATACACATATATCTTAGCCGGTTGATTATATTAGTTAGAGATAATTACGATTATATTAGTTAGAGATAATTACGATTATATTAGTTAGAGATAATTACAGATTTGATTTATATTTATCATTAATCATAGCCGATAGGGTTTCTTTGTACATACCCTATATATAGGGATTTTCTGTTAATGATGAAGGTATCGAG